AATGCCACGTCGCACGTCGCCCACACGTTGAATGTCACGTTCAATGACACGTAAATTGTAACGTCACCCTCGAGTGCCACGCGCGTAGGTCTACGCGTGCATGCAGCTTGAGAAGTACTGTAAAAGCCATACTTATATGTAACGAAGTGCTAATTCAAACGAGTTAACGAGGAGAAATCTGTCGTTAGAATAGAAATCGATATACAGAAATCGATACATATGCTGTTCTATTGAGCGTTGAGAACGCGTGAGAATCGTTACCTTTGCTACACGTAAACTAGTCTTTTTTGGAAATCGTTATTATATGCGCCTCGTTAGAATAATGGCTTTTACAGTACCCTAAACTAAAGCCTAAGGGTGGGGTAGTACTTGACCTGTGAGTGGATCCAGGAGAGAGGAAAGCAGCTATTAACTGAACCTCAGTGCATGTATTTCTACGCAGAAGCCTGGCGAAGGTTCACGAACCGTAGCAGGGGCGATCTTTATTATCTTTATTATAGTACTTTACTTCGAAGTATTGTCAAAGTCTGCGTGTAGTAGTACAATACTTCAGTAAGGTTACAATTGTTGTCTACGTAGGATACGTAGAATAACACGCACTGTTAGTACTGCGCGTGGGCCGTGGCTTTGAGTTTGCTCACAATGGACATAGTATGACATGATGCGCTCCCCGTTACTAGTAGTAGTAATAATTAGTATGTCATGCGAATGGCTCAGACCAGGGCACTCTCGAGTGGTGTAAGTTGCCAGTATGATGCAAACCAGAATATTGATCTGATGTTGATTGATGGAAGAAGGATAGGTTTGCCATCACTGTGTATAACAGTAGTCATACTGGCTGGCGAGCCGAAGGTTGACGAAGAGCAGCGGGGGCGATCGTTATTACTGTATTATTGTCGAAGTCTACGTGTAGCAGTACAGTACATGTACTTCAGTTAGACTAGCCTAGGTACTAAGGTAGGATGAGTAGAATACCACGCACTGGTACTGTTCGAAGTATTGTCGAAGTCCACGTGTAGTACAGTGTTGCTCAATGAAATCCAGTCTAGTCACTCAAGTACACGCCGGGCGTTGCGCAGCCCTAGACCTGCGAACACTGGGCTGCAAAATGGTGCAAGGTGCAAACTTGAGTGACGGGGCTGGATTTCATTGAGCGGGACTGTAGTACAGCACTTCAGTAAGACTAGTCTACGTAGGATGTGTAGAATAAAACGCACTGTTAGTACTGCGCGTGGGCCTTAAGCCTTGTTTGCTCACAGACATCTAGCATATGGCCAAAGTGCCTCTTGAGTGGTGTGGATCCAGCCTTCCAGGGGAGAGGAAAGCGGCTACTAACTGAACCGAAGTGCATGTATTTCTACGCAGACGCCTGGCGAAGGTTGACGAAGAGTAGCGAAGGCGATCGCATCTAGCATATGGCCAAAGTGCCTCTTGAGTGGTGTGGATCCAGGGGAGAGGAAAGCGGCTACTAACTGAACTGAAGTGCATGTATTTCTACGCAGACGCCTGGCGAAGGTTGACGAAGAGTAGCGAGGGCGATCGTTATTATAGTATTGTCTTAGTCTAAGATAGCAGTACAGTATTTCACTTGGCGGCAGAAGGAGCGGAAGGAGAATCTGCCTCTAACAGGTTGTCCAGTTGGCAATTTTGAGTTTTCCAACATGGCGGCAGACAAGTATAATTATAATAACAATAATAATATTATACAATGTATTCGCGTGAAGAAGAGGCTGGACTGTCTTGGGCACTGAAAGAAGGACTATAGCAGAGCTGCCGTAAGTAAAGTATGTCCTGTTTGTTATCTCTTCCACTAGGAAGTTCTAAATTCTTTTCCAACTGGCGTAGCAGAGTCTGTACTATTATCAGAGTAAATACTTAGCGAGATGCACTGAAAACCTGCAACTAACCTTACTTATCACATGCAAGTGCATAATAATAACTGAGGGCATGCGATCAGTCACTCTGCAGACGTCTTCAGAACGTTTCCGAAGCAATGGGAAACACGTTGTAGTGCGAGGGAAAGCTACTAGTGTTTGTCTGGAGGTGCCTTCACGGGAAAGCTAGTGCCATATTGTCTGTACTGTTCGTAAGATCTGAGTCATCAGAGGTCCAACGGTCTGCTCATTCAGCCATCCTCGGCCGTCCGTCGCAGGATAAGCACTCTGGAACCTGCTGCTGGATGACGTTCGGACCATAGCAAGACAGAACAGGTTTAGCATAAGTTGCCTACCGTTGAATTTGTTGCTCAGACTAGCCCTCCCCTAGCTCTCCTCGACCACCCTGTCACCCCTGATACTCGCTTGACTCGTCTGTCAGACACTTCTTCTTTCGTAATTTTCTAAGTCCTGTCCTCTCTTTTCTAATTGCGGCTCATCCATTCGCCTTTATATCATTAGGCCTAGTTCCCGTTTATTGTGCCAATTAAAATAAACCAACCAACCAACCATATTGGACAGTAGGTGGTGGCCTTTTGGGAGTACACTTCCCATGCACAGCAGTACGTGCAGTTACATCCAGATATATCCAGTATTTGCAGTCCCAAAACGTGTCGTAGCTGGTTATATAATGGCTCGAAAGGTATCCTTCTCGTTATATGAACATTGTTTGCAATGAGAAATGTTAGCTCTGGCGGTCTCAGTCTTTTATTTCAGTGGAGGGCTAATTTGTGTCTATTGAACAGCGTGCAGGCCATTTCCTTGAACACAGGTAGATTCATGAATTGTAAATTAGGGACGTGATAGCATAAGGAAAAACTGACGTTGCCGGTGCTTAGAGATTTCAAACATGGCAGGAATCCAGCTTCGGAAAAGAGTGTCTCCTTTACTGGTAAGGTGTGGTCCTTTCACTTTCATGCCAACTTGAGTTTTGCCGGAATTTAAATATCTCCAGTAGGTGTGCATTGACTTTGCCAAGTCAAAAACCTGTCTTTTCTACTTTTCCCCACAAATTTTCTTTGTGAGAAGACAACTTTGGCGACCACTCCAAGTACAATGTACAAGGTAGAGTTCACAGGATCCTATCTCGGTGGATACTGATTTTGTCACCCTACTTTTTTTCTTGTACCATCTGTACTGTGTGCATGCAGGTGCAATTATAAGTTCAACATCTGAGCCGGTTCTGCCCCCTACGACACTGACATGGCTTCTCACAGTCAGTTTGTCAGTGACTGTTGCTGGAACAAGTCATTTTTCTGTTCTCTTTCCTCTGCTTTTATTACTGGTTTGAACTTTTTCATCACACTTGCATACTTCACGATTGTTTTGTTCCCCAGCTTTTCACTCAAATCTGACATACACACACCCACATGTATGCGTGTGTCTGCCCATCTGTTGAATGTGATTTGTTTTGGGCAGCCCATCGTCCGAGTTATTCCTTTGCTGGCGAAGAACGCGGTGATGATGACGAAAATGATGATAATAATTATGGTAAGTTGGAATGAGCTTCAAGCTGTTGCCTCTGTATGATGAAAAGAATGGAAGTAATTATGCAACCGATGATGATAACTTTTGCGCTCTTGCCACTTTGTATTGCCGCTGAGGCTGTACCATGGTGAGCTAGTGCACTGAGGTTGCTGGCGGGGTTTGGGGATGCTGTGTGGTGTTTGCAAGTACCTGGGAAGAGATCTTGCTGTGGTGTGTGTTGCGTTTCTTGTTCTTTGGAATGGCGGAATGTCTCCACACTCCAGTTGGAAGGACCAGGTACTGAGGGTTTGGAGGCACTCATAATGTGTACTGGTACCATTATGGGTGTCCTTCCAGCTGCCCTTTAAAAGAATAATGCAGGGTTCAGCTGGTCCCGGGTAGTAAGTCATTCCACAAAAAAAGATTAAAGAAAGAGAAAAAAGAATGACCCTGTGCGGGCGGGAAGTCATTCTGCATTAAAAAAGAAGGAAAAAAAGAAAAAGAAAAGAAAGAAAAGAAGAATGACTCACCGGTGCTTGACGACAAAAAAAGAATGTGGTGGGCTCCGCGCCTGCAGCATGCATGTCGTGTTTCACTGAGGCTCAGTCCCAGTGCCCGCTTTCTTTTTCATTTGGTCCCATGCACGCACGGTTGGGCCGAGTACATGGGATACGCACATCATTGCTGTGCGTATCACTCATGATTTCATACTTTTCTATGGCCAGTTCCATGGCTGGAAACCTGGATCTGTTTGAGACTATCTGAGATGTCCAAACTCCGGAGGTCCGTGGTGTTGTATTTTTCAACACTGCGGGGTTCGACGCTATTTCCGAACACATATCATTTCCTTTTTCTTTTGTTGTTGGCCTAGGATGATACGCTGCACTGGTTGGTGTCTATTGGACATCTGTGCATGCTGAGGCCATTTCCACTGTCTTGAAGTGTGCGTGCGTGCCCGCGTTTTTGGCAGTTTGTGTTTAGTGGTTTCTTTTTCTTTGTGTTTGCACTTTTGCTTGTTTATGGAAGGATATCGGAGAGCCGGAGGAAGCTGCACCAGGTACAGCTGGTTGGAGTCAAGTGGATCCGCCACAAAAAAGAAGGACATTATTGAAGTTCAGCTTGAAGTAAGTAACTGAGTTTAGAAGACCACAGCTGTTTTCCACTGAGTTGTGTTGGCCTACAATCTTAGAACAGGACACTGTGAGGCACTGTTGATGACACACTTTCATGCCAACTTGAGTTTTGTCAGATTTTAGATACCTCCAGCAGGTGTGCATTGACTTTGCGAAGTCTAAAACCTGTCTTTTCTACCTTTTCCCCACTAGGTTTATTTGTGAGAAGATAACTTTGCCGACCACTCCAATTACAATAGACAAGGTAGAGTTCACAGGATCCTGTCTCGGTGGATACTGATTTTGTCACCCTACTTTTTATCTTGTACCATGTGTGCTGTGTTCATGCAGGTGCAATTATAAGTACAAAATCTGAGCCGGTTTTGCCCCCTACGACACTGACGATGCTTCTCACAGTCAGTTCGTCAGTGACTGCTGCTGGAACAAGTCATTTTTGTGTTCTATTTTCTCTGCTTTTATTGCCGGTTTGAAAGTTTACATCGCACTTGTATACTTCACGATTGTTTTGTTCCCCAGCTTTTCACTCAAATCTGACATACACACACACACACACATATGTATGCGTGTGTCTGCCCGTCTGTTGAATGTGACTTGTTTTGGGCAGCCCATCGTCCGAGGAATTCCGTTGCTGGCGAAGAACGCGATGATAATATGGTGAGTTGGAGTGAGCTTTCAAGCTGTTGCCTCTGTATGATGAAAATAATGTAAATAATTATGCGAGCTAAGTGCAACGGTGGGTGAAAAACTAATAATTATAACGCTAAAACTGTGTAGTGAGACAAACAATCATGTTGTGCACCTACGAAAACAATTTTAACGCAACTACATGTTCCTTCTGCTTACAAAGACCAGGCTTATGCAAACGAATACAAACAGGCTCAAGTACTTTCAACTGACTAGCATACCGTGCACGACAAAGAACAGAAAAACTAAAATCATCATACACCTGCAGACACTTAGGGTGAGACAACAAGTGAAGAAAAATGGCAGACTTCTTACGATCACAATCACCATCTGATTCCTCGTCTCCAACAACCGCAACCTCGTCCTCCGTTTCATCTCCCAACTCGTCCTCAGTGTCGTCCTCCGTGTCATTCTCCTCATCAACATTGATCGGTCCCAGGCTCGTTTGACGTTGTTTAACCTCTGTTCGTTGACTCCTCCTTTGATCTTGATGGCAACTTGTTACCATTGTTGTTGTTGTTGTTGTTGTTGTTGTTGTTGTTGTTGTTGTTAAATCTTGTGTTCCCAGTGTCCTCGCCGGTGCTTGATCTTCAGTACTGTAATAATTCATTGAATAATTAGCCGTTGATCGTCTAGGTCTTTGAATGTTGATTGTGTTACTTTCTTTGTTGAATTCCGTTCCCTTCAGCCTTCTTTCTCGTTGTTCACAATCAGTGCTTGCCTCATCCATATATGCACGTGCCACCGACACCACAGACTCAGCCCCAGCACCGCCGATGATAGATGTAGGTGGCGGTTCTGGAGGAGGCAACGGCAAAGACGGCGATGAGGGCATTACCTCATCATAGCGTCCACTTTGGTCTTGAGCTGAATGTTGGTGTGTTGTGTTATCTTGTGTTGTTATGGTGCATTGTGTTGTGGTGACAATATGCCCATTACCCGACTCCAAGGCTCTCGATACGGGTAATGGAGGCACTATTGCCGATGACGGAAATTGTGCTAACGATGGCTGTGGCCGAGGGTTCTTCATTGGCCTGCCGCGTTTTGGTCGCAGTGCCCGTGCCGAGCCAGTCAGCATATGCAGTGGGACGTGCTGCTTGATACGTGCGTTCAGATGTTGAAGAGTCCTACCAACGTACCGACTACCGCATTGTCGGCACTCAAATTGGTATACCAATTTAGATGCAAGTTGGGTTGGTAGGACATCCTTCCTCACCGTGAACGCACGTACAGTTGTGAAAACGGGTACAAAATGTACCGCGTAGTACGTTTGCTGTACAATTTTCCGTACCAAGCGACTCATGGATAATGAGAGGTTACCTTTCCAGGGGAGAGAAAGATACGTGGGACATTTGTCCGGGCCAAAACGTTTTTCCTTTTTATCCAGCCTTTCGCTCATGAGTTCCTTCAATAGATCGTCAGGGTACCCGTTCTTTAGAAAAACGGACTTAAGGAAGTCCAGTTCCTCAGCTAGTTTGGAAGAGGAGCAAATACGCTCTGCTCGATCCACCAAGTTACGCACTAAATTCACCTTGTATTGGTACGAACAATACGAGTCAAACATTATGTACTGGCCGGTGAATGTAGGCTTTCTGTACACAGATGTTACGGTACCCTGACTAAACTTTTCCACAAGGACATCTAGAAAGGGAAGTTTGTTGGCTTGTTCGTGTTCACACGTAAAACGTATGGAAGGATGTAGGTCATTTAGAATACCAAGAAAGATTTGGCTATCTTCAAGAGAATCAAACCAGGTGAAGGAATCATCAACAAAACGAACGTACAATGCTGGCCACAACTGTTCTGCAAGCAGTGACTCGCAGTAACCAACGAACACATTCGCTAAAACTGGACCCAATGGAGAGCCCATGGCTACCCCATCAACCTGCCTGTACATAATGTCACCGAAGGAAAACTCCACACCAGTCGTCACGAGCAACATCAGTTCCCGGAACGCCGTCTCCGATATCCATGGCGTGTCAACTTCATCATTTCGGTACAACACATCTAGGCAAATATTGATAGTCTCTTCTAACGGGACGTTCGTGAACAGACTAACAACATCAAACGAGCACATATGCGCGGAGGCCGGAACCGGGTGGGAGCGAAGGACGTCAATGAATTTGAAGGTGTCTTTAACTGTATGTTTGCAATAGAACGTTTGCACGATGTCAAGCCAACCACACAGCCATTTAGAGATATTATATTGTGGTGATGCAACCATGGATAATATGGGGCGCAACGGACAGTTCGGTTTATGTATTTTTGGTAGCCCATAGAGACGTGGCCGGACGGAACCAATGGGCCGCATTTTGAAGAACTCTTCCTCCGATATCTGTTTATTTTCCTTAAGTCTCTTGAGAAAACTATTCAACTTTTTCTCTACTCGAACTGTGTTGTCATGAGTAGATACCGGACCGAGTTGGACAAACTTACTCGTGTCCTCAAGGATGACCGCCATTTTTGTATTGTACTCTTGTGTGCTGATAATAACTGTAGCTCGACCCTTGTCTGGTCTTGTGATTCTAATATCGTTGTTGTTCGTAAGATGACGTCGAGCCTTAAGGTGTTCTCTGGATAATGAAAATGTGCTTCGGTCTGGAGGTTTTTCTGCGTGTTCTTCGGCGATGGCTCGAAGATTAGCCGTACAGATAGCACGCTGATTTTCAGATGCTGGTGTAAAATTCTTCATGAGTTTTTTGTGGAACATTTCGAATTGCGTAAGAACTATTTCCTTTCTGTTGTTAGAAGGAGGAATACCAAACTCCGTTCCCCGGCAAAGTAATTCCTTTTGCACAGGGGATAGTTCGATGTTGGCCAGATTAATAATCGTGTCCATGTTGGGCTTAAAGGAGCCATACCGCTTTGCACGCAGCCATTTGATGTTTTTCTCGTACTTGGCGAGGAGTTTGACTTGCTGTTTGCTGTCATTCTCGGCCAGTAGTGTACTGAATCTGAGGTAGTCGTGATAGGAAAGGAACGAACGAGCCGAACTATACAGACGTTTAAATTGAGACTTAACAGAACATAATGTGTCACTAGAGCGCGCAATGTCGTCTTTGAGGAATACTCTTTCTATTGCTAATGAGTGATAAGCACGGGCTTTGTGCACCCGATTCTGGATGGAAGTAGGGCACACTCCATTTTCCTTACAGCGCTTCAAAAAGATAATATTATGTGAAATGTTTCTAGCCAAGTAGCGTTTGCGCAGAGCATCATTCAGGGTTTCAACCTGACTCCTAGAGTATCTCCGTTTAAAATATGCAAATAATCGACGTGGAGACAACAATTTTATAATAGCAATAAAAAGAACAAATTCTGCAGTCATCGCCACACTACAACGAAGTCATGAAAGTTTACCAGAATTAATTTTCTTGTCACATTCATCAGTGGAAAGTCGTGACGAGGTTGCGGTTGTTGGAGACGAGGAATCAGATGGTGATTGTGATCGTAAGAAGTCGGCCGTTTTTCTTCACTTGTTGTCTCACCCTAAGTGTCTGCAGGTGTATGATGATTTTAGTTTTTCTGTTCTTTGTCGTGCACGGTATGCTAGTCAGTTGAAAGTACTTGAGGCTGTTTGTATTCGTTTGCATAAGCCTGATCTTTGTAAGCAGAAGAAACATGTAGTTGCGTTAAAATTGTTTTCGTAGGTGCACAACATGATTGTTTGTCTCACTACACAGTTTTAGCGTTATAATTATTAGTTTTTCACCCCCCGTTGCACTTAGCTCTCACTTCACTGAAATAATTATGCAACCGCCTTTTTTACTGGCAAACAAAACAAAATGTGCCATTGTGGAGAAGCAGAGCACAATAGTGGCAAAACAATTCCATGAAAAGAAGAATGTTTTTAAAAGTATTTCAATGTTGATGATGAAAACTATTACATGTATAATGACTTTTAATGACTTTTATTGTGGTTGTGATACTGTTGTTGTCTTCGTGTTTTACCACAGCATGTTGATATTTTGGAGGCTGAGCCCATCATGACCAGTAGATACTCGGCCGTTGCTGGGGAAGAAAGCGATGATGAAGACGCTGATGATGATAATAATTATGGTAAGTTTGAATCGTGGCTTGGAAGCTGTTGCCTCTGTATGATGAAAATAATGCAAGCAACCGATGATGATAAATGATGAGAAATCTGTCGTTAGAATAGAAATCGTTATACAGAAATCGATACATACAGTGTATGCTGTTCTATTGAACGTTGAGAACGCGTGAGAATCGTTAACTTTGGTACACGACACGTAAACTAGTCTTTTTGGAAATCGTTATTATATGCGCCTCGTTAGAATAATGGCTTTTACAGTACCCTAAACTAAAGCCTAAGGGTGGGGTAGTACTTGACCTGTGAGTGGATACATCGGAGAGAGGAAAGCAGCTACTAACTGAACCTCAGTGCATGTATTTCTACGCGGAAGCCTGGCGGAGGTTCACGAACAGTAGCGGGGGCGATCTTTATTATAGTACTTCGAAGTACGTACTTAAGTATAGGGCTTGAAAGTGCTACGTCACAGCATAGCAACAATTTCAAAAATTCAAAAATTGGATCCACTTGGATCCAGTTTTTGTATGGATCCAAGCACATTTCAAGCCGTCTTACTCACAGCAAGGTGATGTAACCAGTGAAACTGACTGATTTGGCTACTGGGGGCGGGGTTACAACTGGTGGCGAAGTAAAGGTCACCCCGGCATACGACATGAGTGGGTTGCTATGCACCCGCATACTGAGGCAATAGCAAAGTCACACCTTAGTGGATCCAAAATAGAAATAATGATGTCAACTTAGTCACTCCCTGCGGGTTTTGACGTCATCACTTTCAAGCCCTATTGTCGAAGTCTACGTCAGTACGTGTAGCAGTACAGTACATGTACTTCAGTAAGACTAGTCTACGTACTAAGCTAGGATGTGTAGAATACCACGGACTGTTACTGTTCGAAGTATTGTCGAAGTCCACGTGTAGTACATGTAGAGTGTAGTACAGCACTTCAGTAAGGCTAGTCTAGGTAGGATGTGTAGAATAACACGCACTGTTAGTACTGCACGTGGGCCTTGTTTGCTCACAGACATCTAGCATATGGCCAAAGGGACTGAGTCTTGAGAAGTAATTAGTTGAGTGGTGTGGATCCAGGGGAGAGGAAAGCGACTACTAACTGAACCGCAGTGCATGTATTTCTACGCGGTCCGCGGCCTGGCAAAGGTTGACGAAGAGTAGCGAGGGCGATCGTTATTATACAGTATTGTCTAAGTCTAAGTATGCAGTACAGTATTTCACTTGGCGGCAGAAGGAGCGGAAGGAGAATCTGGCTCTAACAGGTTGTCCAGTTGGAGATTTTGAGTTTTCCAAAATGGCGGCAGACAAGTATATAAATAATATACAATGTATTCGCGTGAAGAAGAGGCTGGACTTTCTTGGGCACTGAAAGAAGGACTATAGCAGAGCTGCCGTAAGTAAAGTATGTCCTGTTTGTTATCTCTTCCACTAGGAAGTTCTAAATTCTTTTCCAACTGGCTTTACAGAGTCTGTACTATTATCAGAGTAAATACTTAGCGAGATGCACTGAAAACCTGCAACTAACCTTACTTATCACATGCAAGTGCATAATAATAACTGAGGGCATGCGATCAGTCACTCTGCAGACGTCTTCAGAACGTTTGCCAAGCAATTGGAAATACGTTGTAGTGCGAGGGCAAGCTACTAGTGTTTGTCTGGAGGTGCCTTCACGGGAAAGCTAGTGCCATATTGTCTGTACTGTTCGTAAGATCTGAGTCATCAGAGGTCCAACGGTCTGCTCATTCAGCCATCCTCGGCCGTCCGTCGCAGGATAAGCACTCTGGAACCTGCTGCTGGATGACGTTCGGACCATAGCAAGACAGAACAGGTTTAGCATAAGCTGCCTACAATTTGTTGCTCAGACTAGCCCTCCCCTAGCTCTCCTCGACCACCCTGTCACCCCTGATACTCGCTTGACTCGTCTGTCAGACACTTCTTCTTTCGTAATTTTCTAAGTCCTGTCCTCTCTTTTCTAATTGCGGCTCATCCATTCGCCTTTATATCATTAGGCCTAGTTCCCGTTTATTGTGCCAATTAAAATAAACCAACCAACCAACCATATTGGACAGTAGGTGGTGGACGTGTGGGAGTACACTTCCCATGCACAGCAGTACGTGCAGTTACATCCAGATATATCCAGTATTTGCAGTCCCAAAACGTGTCGTAGCTGGTTATAATAATGGCTCGAAAGGTATCTTTCTCGTTATATGAACTTTGTTTGCAATGAGAAATGTTAGCTCTGGCGGTCTCAGTCTTTGATTTCAGTGGAGGGCTAATTTGTGTCTATTGAACAGCGTGCAGGCCATTTCCTTGAACACAGGTAGATTCATGAATTGTAAATTAGGGACATGATAGCATAAAGAAAAACTGACGTTGCCGGTGCTTAGAGATTTCGAACATGGCAGGAATCCAGCTTCGGAAAAGAGTGTCTCCTTTGCTGGTAAGGTGTGTTCCTTTCACTTTCATGCCAACTTGAGTTCTGCCGGAATTTAAATATCTCCAGTAGGTGTGCATTGACTTTGCCAAGTCAAAAACCTGTCTTTTCTACTTTTCCCCACAAATTTTCTTTGTGAGAAGACAACTTTGGCGACCACTCCAAGTACAAGTACAAGGTAGAGTTCGCAGGATCCTATCTCGGTGGATACTGATTTTGTCACCCTACTTTTTATCTTGTACCATGTGTGCTGTGTGCATGCAGGTGCAATTATAAGTTCAACATCTGAGCCGGTTCTGCCCCCTACGACACTGACATGGCTTCTCACAGTCAGTTTGTCAGTGACTGTTGCTGGAACAAGTCGTTTTTCTGTTCTCTTTCCTCTGCTTTTATTACCGGTTTGACCTTTTTCATCACACTTGCATACTTCACGATTGTTTTGTTCCCCAGCTTTTCACTCAAATCTGACATACACACACCCACATGTATGCGTGTGTCTGCCCGTCTGTTGAATGTGATTTGTTTTGGGCAGCCCATCGTCCGAGTCATTCCTTTGCTGGCGAAGAACGCGGTGATGATGACGAAAATGATGATAATATGGTAAGTTGGAATGAGCTTCAAGCAGTTACCTCTGTATGATGAAAATAATGGAAGTAATTATGCAACCGATGATGATAACTTTTGCTCTCTTGCCACTTTGTATTGCCGCTGAGGCTGTACAATGGTAAGCTAGTGCACTGAGGTTGCTGGTGGGGTTTGGGGATGCTGTGTGGTGTTTGCAAGTACCTGGGAAGAAATCTTAATGTGGTGTGTGTTGCGTTTCTTGTTCTTTGGAATGGCGGAATGTCTCCGCAATCCAGTTGGAAGGACCAGGTACTGAGGGTTTGGAGGCACTCATAATGTGTACTGGTACCATTATGGGTGTCCTTCCAGCTGCCCTCTAAAAGAATAATGCAGGGTTCAGCTGGTCCCGGGTAGTAAGTCATTCCACAAAAAAAGATTAAAGAAAGAGAAAAAAGAATGACCCGGTGCGGGCGGGAAGTCATTCTGCATTAAAAAAGAAGAAAAAAAGAAGAAGAAAAGAAAGAAAAGAAGTATGACTCACCGGTGCTTGACGACAAAAAAAAGAATGTGGTGGGCCCCGTGCCTGCAGCATGCATGTCGTGTTTCACTGAGGCTCAGTCCCAGTGCCCGCTTTCTTTTTCATTTGGTCCCATGCACGCACGGTTGGGCCGAGTACATATGATACGCACATCATTGCTGTGCGTATCACTCATGATTTCATACTTTTCTATGGCCAGTTCCATGGCTGGAAACCTGGATCTGTTTGAGACTATCTGAGATGTCCAAACTCCGGAGGTCCGTGGTGTTGTATTTTTCAACACTGCGGGGTTCGACGCTATTTCCGAACACATATTATTTCCTTTTTCTTTTGTTGTTGGCCTAGGATGATACACTGCACTGGTTGGTGTCTATTGGACATCTGTGCATGCTGAGGCCATTTCCACTGTCTTGAAGTGTGCGTGCGTGCGTGCCCGCGTTTTTGGCAGTGTGTGTTTAGTGGTTTCTTTTTCTTTGTGTTTGCACTTTTGCTTGTTTATGGAAGGATATCGGAGAGCCGGAGGAAGCTGCACCAGGTACAGCTGGTTGGAGTCAAGTGGATCCGCGAGAAAAAAAGAAGGACAGTATTGAAGTCCAGCTTGAAGTAAGTAACTGAGTTTAGAAGACCACAGCTGTTTTCCACTGAGTTGTGTTGGCCTACAATCTTACAACAGGACACTGTCAGGCACTGTTGATGACACACTTTCATGCCAACTTGAGTTTTGTCAGATTTTAGACACCTCCAGCAGGTGTGCATTGACTTTGCCAAGTCAAAAACCTGTCTTTTCTACCTTTCCCCACTAGGTTTATTTGTGAGAAGATAACTTTGCCGACCACTCCAATTACAATAGACAAGGTAGAGTTCACAGGATTCTGTCTCGGTGGATACTGATTTTGTCACCCTACTTTTTTTCTTGTACCATGTGTGCTGTGTGCATGCAGGTGCAATTATAAGTACAACATCTGAGCCGGTTTTGCCCCCTACGACACTGACGATGCTTCTCACAGTCAGTTCGTCAGTGACTGTTGCTGGAACAAGTCATTTTTCTGTTCTCTTTCCTCTGCTTTTATTACAGGTTTGACCTTTTTCATCACACTTGCATACTTCACGATTGTTTTGTTCCCCAGCTTTTCACTCAAATCTGACATACACACACCCACATGTATGCGTGTGTCTGCCCGTCTGTTGAATGTGATTTGTTCTGGGCAGCCCATCGTCCGAGTCATTCCTTTGCTGGCGAAGAACGCGGTGATGATGACGAAAATGATGATAATATGGTAAGTTGGAATAAGCTTCAAGCAGTTACCTCTGTATGATGAAAATAATGGAAGTAATTATGCAACCGATGATGATAACTTTTGCTCTCTTGCCACTTTGTATTGCCGTTGAGGCTGTACAATGGTAAGCTAGTGCACTGAGGTTGCTGGTGGGGTTTGGGGATGCTGTGTGGTGTTTGCAAGTACCTGGGAAGAGATCTTGCTGTGGTGTGTGTTGCGTTTCTTGTTCTTTGGAATGGCGGAATGGTTTCACAATCCAGTTGGAAGGACCAGGTAATGAGGGTTTGGAGGCACTCATAATGTGTACTGGTACCATTATGGGTGTCCTTCCAGCTGCCCCTTAAAAGAATAATGCAGGGTTCAGCTGGTCCCGGGTAGTAAGTCATTCCACAAAAAAAGATTAAAGAAAGAGAAAAAAGAATGACCCGGTGCGGGCGGGAAGTCATTCTGCATTAAAAAAGAAGGAAAAAAAGAAGAAGAAAAGAAAGAAAAGAAGAATGACTCACCGGTGCTTGACGACAAAAAAAAAGAATGTGGTGGGCTCCGTGCCTGCAGCATGCATGTCGTGTTTCACTGAGGCTCAGTCCCAGTGCCCGCTTTCTTTTTCATTTGGTCCCATGCACGCACGGTTGGGCCGAGTACATATGATACGCACATCATTGCTGTGCGTATCACTCATGATTTCATACTTTTCTATGGCCAGTTCCATGGCTGGAAACCTGGATCTGTTTGAGACTATCTGAGATGTCCAAACTCCGGAGGTCCGTGGTGTTGTATTTTTCAACACTGCGGGGTTCGACGCTATTTCCGAACACATATTATTTCCTTTTTCTTTTGTTGTTGGCCTAGGATGATACGCTGCACTGGTTGGTGTCTATTGGACATCTGTGCATGCTGAGGCCATTTCCACTGTCTTGAAGTGTGCGTGCGTGCGTGCCCGCGTTTTTGCCAGTGTGTGTTTAGTGGTTCCTTTTTCTTTGTGTTTGCACTTTTGCTTGTTTATGGAAGGATATCGGAGAGCCGGAGGAAGCTGCACCAGTTACAGCTGGTTGGAGTCAAGTGGATCCGCGAGAAAAAAGAAGGACAATATTGAAGTCCAGCTTGAAGTAAGTAACTGAGTTTAGAAGACCACAGCTGTTTTCCACTGAGTGTGTTGGCCTACAATCTTAGTACAGGACACTGTCAGGCACTGTTGATGATTACGCCTCTTTCACGGGCAAACAAAACACAATTTGCCATGTTGGAGAAATAGAACACTATACAAATACTGGCGAAACAATTTCATGAAAACAGTCGATGCGCCAAGCCAGCTGAGTGGGTCTTTTTATTTTTTTCGCGGGAAAGTTTATGTGGTGAACTGTGTTGGTAAAGATGAAGATGTCAGTCAATGAAATTTGCTATATTTCTTGTGTCTAACCAACCCTGTACGGATCGAACTGACGATTCCCGAGTGCGACAAATGTCCTGAAGTCTGCTCCTATTAGCTAGGTATCTAGAAATTTCAACTTGAGTGTCAAGTGAAGACTTTGCCAGTTGCAGATGAGGGAATTCTCGCTTCACGATTTTCCTGGTGTGTGGAGATACGTCGGAATGCCGACCCACCACACCCGACATGATGCTTCGGCCGGAATGCAGGTTGGTGCAGATAATTGCCTAATAATATATGTCAAAGCGTGTATACCTTTCCTTTCGTTGCATGCTTGGTTAATCCGACGGCACGAAATTATAGACATTTCGAAATTAACTTGAATATTATTTGGTCGTTGTATATCTTAGTAGTATCTATTCGAAGTGGCTTATGCGAACATTTTTGGCTGGTTTGCATGATTTGCATGCCCATTAATGCAGCTGCAGGCCATGCTGATGTCTACGCGAACAAGCACATAATAATAAACGAGAGAGCTTGGAAGCTCAGGGCCCTGCGCTATGCTTTGTTGCCTAGCTCATCGTGCATGTTGGTGGAACTGATGGAAATGCTTTTTCCTTTGATTAGCTACATCATTGTATTGCAAAAACAGTTTAATGAGATACTGAAGTAACGTCTTCTGCATAGCTATGGGACCGGCGCTGACTCTGCCGATCACGGGCGTTCTGGAGTCGACGGGATGTCTGTCCTGACGTTTCCTGGGACCGGCGCTGACTCTGCCGATCACGGGCGTTCTTCTTCTTCTTATTATTATTATACTGACGGCAACTAACATCCCTTCTTATTGTATTTACTCGTCTCCCTACTTCGTATTTCTTTCCATACAGCAGGGAGTCGTTTACATAATAATTATGACTCCCTGCTATACATCTACATGACTGTATATACGTTATAATTATTATGCTATCGGCCTACATGCGATTCCCGGGCTGGTCGACAGGCGGCCCAGCCAGCCTGCTAGTGGGATCTCGGCCTCGCACACAAATCCACACAAAATGTTACTGCACTGAATGCATTCCCCCGATACACTTCGCATATATACTCATTCTCTTGTTGGTACCGTACCCTTGATGGTACGGGACAGGTACGGGATAGCGCCAGGCATTTCGATGGCACAAACAAACAAAAATATCGGGGCCAGCTGTCTTTGCTAGTACGGTACAGTACGGGACAGATACGGGATAGCGCCAGGCGTGACACAAACAAACAAACAAACAAACAAATAAACAAACAAACAAACAAACACCAAATTAAAGCTGTGTGGACCCTGGCTAGCGCCAGACGTTACTGAAGTAACGTCTTCTGCATAGCTACGGGAATAAAATGTCTTAGTATTCCCTGTCAGTTTGTGCCTTTTTGTCGCGCTCGCCGACTGTATATGATCTAGCGACATTGGTACATGGTGGACAGTTAGTCATAACTCGCATTTTGTCCTTATTCTTTTTATCCATGATTACATTGGCTCACCATCCGAGTTTATTTATTTGTGATAGGGCAATATGTAATGTACACACACACACACACACACACACACACACACACACACACACACACACACACACACACATACACACACCACCACACACACAGTGACACACACACCACACGCACACCCGCACACACCATCACATTACGACAAAATCAAGGCAATGCCGGCGAAGCTCTATAATTTTCTTGTGCCGCGTGCTAGGAGCATAATGGCATTGCCCGATAGTTTGGAGTTGACAGGAGGGCATGCACATCGAAACCACGCCTTGTCAACGACCCGTTCTTGCTCAGTTTTAACGACCACACTCAGCCAAAGAAACAAAACAACAACGAAGCACAACGACACACCAACGCTGATGTGGCATCGCAAATCCCGTACCGTGCACGCAGGCACTAGGTTGCAACAGAAAAAAGACGCGCTGCAAGCGTGCCAAGCAGCGAGTGAGTACAGAACGCGTACTAATGCCAGTCATGGCAACGGAAGATATGGAGATCGAGAGCAGAGTACGAAAAAAAGCACACATTCAAAGTTCAAACTGTGCAACAGAAGCAGAAGAGGAAAACGAAAATGAACACTTGTCGTGAAGTGAAGTGCTTCTGTCCAAGGGTGCTTGCACCCGACGGGGTGACAGCGCCCCTAGTCAGACAATACAAGGCAAACGAAATAGAAATTAGCTGAGTCACAGCGCGGGACTCCGAAACGAAAACCGGTGAGTATGTAAATATTAATTGTTTCGTACCTGCTGTACAACGTAACAATTGCTCAAATTCGTAACGTATTTCAAACTAGCACTCGTAGAATTGTAGTGCGAATGTGCCACTCGATTATAGTAACAACGACAAAGAGATACTCTTCTAAACACCCGATAATAGCACTTGGTGTAAATGGGTTCCCATGTTCACACACACATACACACACACACACACACCACACACACGCACACACCATCACATTACGACAAAATCAAGGCAATGCTGGCGAAGCTCTATAATTTTCTTGTGCCGCGTGCTAGGAGCATAATGGCATTGTCCGATAATAGCACTTGGTGTAAATGGGTTCCCATATTTGTGAAGTACATGTATTATTCGGTTGCTGGCTATCAATTGTGCTGTGAGCATGGCAGAGTGAGGTCTTCCAGCTTTGTTGGTGTTTGCTCTATCTTGTGTTTACGCTCTGCAGAAAGGATCATATGTAGTGCCTTCTCAGCATTACATTACATCCATTGCGTAGCAGCAATGTGCCATCCTTCCGCGACTTAGGTGGAATGACGTGCAAGTGGTGCTCCAGGGTCAACTTCAATTTGCCCAGCACGTATGCCGCTAGCTTGGGGTCAGCAGCTGGGTGCAAAGTCTCTGTATACAAATCGTGCACTGTCGTCAACAATATGGCATCCTTGTCCAGCAATTCCCGTCCTGTAGCGGCAATGACTATAATATTGGGGAAATCACTCTCGGCACCTTCCGTGCTGTACTGAGTGATGATGCTTCGCAATTGGTGGTCTGTGCTTGGTGCATTGTCGGCAGGGAGCATGTCAATTTGCTTTTGGTAGCAGCGTCTACAAAATCGACTCTCGTCTGAAATCCTGACATGGTGCATGCTACGCAACACATGCTCTGCAAGCTGAAAGTTTGGTGACTTCCGCCTGTGTTCTGGTGTGAGTCTCGACTTACACCAAGCACATGTTGCATGGCCCACACACTGCTGGTAATGGGTTGGGCACAGAAGCGGTTCGCACTGTTCTTTCAGACTGTGCACGCGCAGTTTGTTTGCAGGACAGTGTACGGATGCCGCTCCGCTGCAATCATGTACACTGCATGTGCTTTGGCTGACTGGTGGCTTATTTTCTTTCGCTGCTGTGCATACTTGGCGTCGTAGTGCTTTGACGCACTTGCAATAAATGCATTGGCCTGACGTGATGGATGTGCATGTGTGTAGCTTTTGCCAATCTGACAGCATTGAGTCATGTGTAAATCGCTTGTCAGATGGCACTTTGGAGCAAATGCTTCATTCTGGGCCACATGGTCGTCAAGTATGTATGCTTGTGCCAGTTGTGGCATTGCTGGGTCTTCCTGCCGCTGACATCTGTGCACACATGCATGGAAAATATACGTAAAAACACTAGTTAGAAATCACGTCACCAGAGGCATGCCCTTTTTTCGGCCAGAACATAACTTCCGCTCCAATGTCACAAAGACTTACTCTTTCGATACGTCCAGCATAGAAGCAGCGAAATGCCTGGTTAATTCGGTGGCACGAAATTATAGGTCGGGCGACGAAATTTCGACGAAAAAAGGAAAAGAGACAAACCGACGTGTAGCGACACCAAACTACAGAATTTCGTCGTTCTTGAAGAACTCATAACAGAAAAAGGTGAAAGGCGACTACTGAATCCTCGAGTGTGACGAATAACTCCGAGAAAGCGTGAGACTGGCCAGCACGTACATACATGAAAACGATCGTATGTTGAGAATGCCTTGAGAAAAGTGCCCAAAAAGGGTGCATCTGAAAAATAGAACTCTGTGTTCCGACGTGATTTTTCAAATCTGGCGCATCGACTGAAAAGAAGAATGTGTTTTAAAGGGGAAGTGCATCGATTTTTCAAGTAGGGCTCAGATGAAAGACAATTGGATATCGGTTCCGATGGTATATCTCTCGCTTGCGTACGGCAAGGGAAACTTGCCATATCGCCGATTTCCTGATCCCGTTTCCATGGCGACTACAGGTGATGACGCACATTCTGCTTAGCTCCGTGAGAGAGAGAAGGTCGATCAGTGAAGAATTGTGTCATTTTCAGGCGTCTTCTTGTATTCACGAAGTGAAAGAAGTACTGTGTTCAAGGCTGTTAGTGCCGTGAACTGTTTATTAGTAGTCCTCTCCGTTGTGTACTGGGACGTGACACCGACAGGGGAAAGCTGGAGTGCGGAGACGTTAGCTGGCAAGCGAAAATCGTGACGAACCAAGTGCTGAAATCTTGGTTGGGACAAATCAAACGTTCAGCATTTACCTCAACCAAGGACCATGCCGTTTGCTCTTTCCACTTCCTGAAGAGATGGATGCGCTGCCTGCTGGAGAATCTCCTATCTCTCGTAACATCTTCTGAAGCCAGGTGAGACGACGAGTAGCGGAGATTAGCGAACGAAATAATGTCGTATGTTTTGAAATTTTTGCTGAACATATC